ACCTGTGAACATGTTACTTTATTTGCAAAAGACAGTTTATGCAATCGTTTTGTGACACTGGGGATTGAACCTAGAGCCTCACACCTGCTTGGCAAGTGCTCTACCACTGAGCTACATCCCCAGCCAGCCTTTGCACATGTGATTAAGTTAAAATTATTGTTTTATGAACCACCCCCACCCCTAGGTTCTAGGGATCAAGCCCAGGACCTTGCACATGCTTGGCAAGTGTCCTACCTCTGAGCTACATCCCCAGTACCAAGTTAAGGATTTTGAGGTGGGAAGATGGTCTTGGATTATCCAGATGTACCCAATGTAATCACAAGGATCCTTACAAGAGAAAGGCAGGAGAGTCAGAGTTAGAGATTGGAAGGTGTCACTGGCTTGGAAGATGGAAGAAGAGGCTCTGAATGAAGGAATGCAGGTGGCTTCTAAAAACTGGAAAAGGCAAGGGAATGAGTTCTCCTCTAGAGCATGCAGAAGGATCATAACTCATGCTGACACCTTAATTAAATTAATTAATTAATTAATTAAGACCAGGGATTGAACCCAGGGATGCTTAACCACTTAAGCAACATCCCCAGTCACCGCCCCCCACTTTTTGAGACAGGGTCTTGCCAAGTTGCTTAGGGCCTCTCTAAGATGCTGAGGTTGGCTTTGAAATTGTGATCTTTCTGCTGCAGCCTCCTAAGATGCTGGGATTACAGGCATGTGCTGCCACACTTGGCATTATTTATTATCTTGAGACAGGGTCTCAATAAGTTGTTTCAGGAAATTGTTGAGACTGGCCTCAAAATTGAGATCTTCCTGCCTCAGCCTCCCAAGTCACTGGGATAAMAGGCATGTATCACCATGCCCAGATTTATGGTAGTACATTACAGCAGCAATAGGAAACTTATATACTAATACTTTTTTTTTTAAATGCTGAGAAAGAAACCCAGGGCCTCACACATACTAGACAAGTTCTCTACCCGTGAGCCACACCACCACTGATACATTTTCTTCCCTTTTTTCTTTATCCTTGGTACTGGAGATTGAACCCATCCATGGGTGCTTTATCACTGAATTACATCCTCTTTTTTTCTTTTTAGTTGTAGATGAACACAATGACTTTTAGTTATTTTTATGTGGTGCTGAGGATTCAACCCAGTGCCTCACACGTGCCAGGCAAGTGTTCTACTACTGAGCCACAACCTCAGTCCATCCCTAATTCTTTTAGGGTCTCAGTATATTGCTGAGGCTGGCCTCAAACTTGAGGTCCTCCAGTCTTGGGCTCCTGAGTAGCCCAACTAATATGCTTTATTATTTTATTTTATTTTATTTTATTGGTACTGAGGATTGAATTTTTTTTTTTTTTTGAGACAGGGTCTCATTGAGTTGCTTAGCATCTCACTGTTGCTGAGGCTGGCTTTGAACTCATGATCCTCCTGTCTCAGCCGCCCAAGCTGCTGGAATTATAGGCATGTGCCATCATACCCAGCCCAACTAATATACTTTATATTCAATTTTTGTTCATGCTGGTTATTTAATACTATTAAAACATTTTTCTGCATTCTTTCAGGTGATTATCTTTCTTCTCTTTTATTTGAATCAACCTAGTAATTACATTTATGTTCAATTTTGTGTATGTGTAATTGGGAATTGAATCCAGAGGCATTCTACTCCCAAGTCACATCCCCAACCCTTTTTATTTTCTATTTTGAGACAGGGTCTCAACCMGTTTCCCAAGGGTGTGAGGTCTTAGTGACTAATTCAGGTGGGTTAATTAGCCTTCGGGGCCTATGTTCAGGTACTTCACTGGTCTGGATCTTGTGATCCTCCTCTCTTATCCTCCTAAATTGCTGGTATTACAAGCATGCACCACTGTGTCCAGCTATGTTCAATTTTTAGATCAACCTTGCATTCCTGGGATATCGTCAGTTTGGGAGCTGGGCGTGATGCGATGTACCTATAGTCCCAGCTACTCAAGAGGATCATATGTTGCTGATTCAATTTGCTAACACTTTAAGAATTTTTGTCAAGTATATATGAGGGACATTAGCCTATGGTTTCCTTGTGATGTTTTTGTTTGGTTTTAATATCAAGGCAATGGTAGCCTTACGAGTTGGCAAGTGGTCCCTCCTCTTAGAGTTTACGTAGAACTGCTATTAATTCTTTCTTTATTATTATTTTTTTGTACTTAGGATTTAACCTGGAGTAGTAGTAGTAGTTGTTGTTGTTGTTGTTCTTCTTCTTCTTCTTCTTCTTCTCTTCTTCCTCCTCCTCCTTCTTTTTATATGTTGATGAACCTTTATTTTATTCATTTATTTATATGTGGTGCTGAGAATTAAACCCAGTGCCTCACACATGCTAGGCAAGTGCTTTACCACTGAGCCACAACACATCCCCTGGAGTGCTTCTTCACCACTCAGCTTTATTGAGCCCCTTTTATTTTTTATTCTGAGGTAAAGTCTCACTAAATTGCAGAAGCTGGCCTTGAACTTGAGATCCTCCTGTCCCAGCCTCCTGAGTAGCTGGTATTACAAGGCAGACATCACCACCACACTCTGCTTCTTTTTTTWAAAATTTTTAATATTTATTTTTCAGTTTTCGGCAGACACAACATCTTTGTTTGTATGTGGTGCTGAGGATCGAACCCGGGCAGCACGCATGCCAGGCGAGCAAGCTACTGCTTGAGCCACATCCCCAGCCCCCTGCTTCTTCTTCAAATGTTTAATAGAACTAACTTATTTACTTCCTCCCTCCCTCCCTCCCTCCCTCCCTTCCTTCCTTCTTTCCTTCCCTTTCCTGTCCTTCCCTTCTTCCCTTCCTTGCTTTCACATTGGGTATTGAACCCAGGGTGCTCTATTTCTGAACTACATCTCCCCAACCATTTTTTTTTTTTTTTAATTTGAGACATGTGCCCAGGCTGGTCTTGAACTTGCTATCCTCCTGCCTCAGCCTCTCTTGTGTTTGGGATTACTGTGCCCAGTTCTAGTGCCAGAGTTTTCTTTGTGGGAGGTTTTAAAATTATGAATTCAATTTCTGCAATATATATAGAATATTCAGATTTTCTATTTCCTATTCAGTGTTTGCAATTTGTATCCTTTAAGGAATTTGTCCATTTTGTCCACTTGGTGGAATTTACAGGCATAAAATTGTTCATAATATACTCTTATTACTCTTTGAATGTCTTTGAGATTTAATGACATCCATCTTCATTCCTGATATAGGTAAATTGTGTTCTTTTTTCTATTTTGCTCAGCCTAGCTGGAGCTTTATCAATTTGATGTACCTTTTCAAAGAATCAATATTTGGTTTCATTGATTCTTTTCTATTTTCTGTATCATTTATTTTTTCATTTCTTCCTACATAAATTTATTCTTCTCTTTCTAGCTTAAGGTGGAAGCTTAAATAGTGCTATATTTTTCTTCTAAAGTAAGTATTTAAAGCTAGTGTCCCTTTAAGCACTGATTCTGCTGCAGCCTGCAAAAGTGTGTGTATATGTGTGTGTGTGTGTCAGGAATTGAACCCAGGGGCACTCTACCACTGAATGTTACATTATTTTTTATTTTGAGACAGGGTCTCACTGAAATGCCCAGGGTAACCTGGAAATTTTGATCCTCCTGCTTCAGCCTCCCAAGCTGCTGGAATTACAGGTGGCTGGCTTCCTCAGCCCTTTTAAAAATTTTCACTTAGCCTCCCATGTAGGTGGGATACAGGCTTACAGGTGGGTGCCATTACACCTGGCTTTTAATTTTTTGGTACTGGAGTTTGAACCCTGAGATCCTTTACGACTGAGCTACATCCCCAGCCCTTTTTGTTTTTTTGAGACAGTCTCACTAAATTGCTAAGGCTGGCCTTGAACTTGGGATCCTTCTGCCTCAGCCTTCAAGATACTGGGATCACCGGTGAGTGCCACCAAGCCTGGCCCACCTCCTTTTATTTTTTAAATATTTTGTCAGTTATTGGAGGACCTTTATTTTTATTTATATGCAGTGCTGAGAATAGAACCCCTCACACATGCTAGGCAAGCACTCTACCACTGAGCCACAACCCTAGCCCCCCCGCTTTTTTTTWAACTTATTTTTATTTTTGAGACAGGGTCAAAGTTGCTGAAGCTGGTGTTGAACTTGTGCTCCCCCTTCTTCATCCTCCCAAGCCCCTGGGATTACAGGCGTGTGCCACCACACCCAGCTCTCTCTATTCATTTTCCAATCATGTACTTTCTTTCCTCTTGTAGCCAGTTCTTTATGATTCTTTAAATTTAAATTTTTGTTGAAACCTATCAAATTGCAGGTTTTTTATTTCAGAGATGGGGATCAAACTTAGGGTCTGACATAAGTTAGGCAAGCACTCTACCACTGAACTATATACCACTGAACTATATATCGTCGACCTAAAAAAATCAATTTTTTTTTTTTTTTTGCAGAGCTGGGGATCAAACCCAGGGCCTTGTGCATACTAGGCAAGCACTCTACCCCTGAGCTGCACCCCACCCCTTTTTCTACTATTGAGCACATATGAACTGTTAGCAATTTTGGTTGTTTTCACAAATGATGCTGCTATGAATATTCATGTATTTCTAAGGTAACATGCCTAGGATGGAACTGCTGGGTTTTAAGGTATGTGAAAGTATAATTCAACTGCTTAATGCCAAACTGTTTCCAGAGTGGTTTGTACTAGTTTCTCTTTTCACCAGCAGGTAAGGGAGTTTCTCTGCCTCCTTGCTGACATCTACTGGACACATATTCACCTTACAACACTTCTGCCAACATTTAATAAGTTCGTTTACACAGTACTGACCCTGTATGGTCGGGGCTCTGTGCATGATGCAACTCTTCCTCACAAGACTCCATCTATTATACACGTCACTTATGACCAGGAAAGCAAGTCTGTGTCCTGTCTCTGCCCTACACAATTCCCTAAAGCCTGGGCCCTGTGGCCATAGCTTCTTTCTTCTTCCAAGCTAGGCAGGGTCCCAGCAGGGCCTCAGTAAAACCCCTGAACCCCTTTCTCTGCAGGCTGTTATTCCCTGTCTGTCCGACTCAGTCGCCCTGCATCTTGGGACCGGATCAGACACTATAGAATCCAGCGCCTTGACAACGGCTGGCTGTACATCTCACCACGCCTCACCTTCCCCTCACTGCAGGCCCTAGTGGACCATTACTCTGGTATGGCCTTTCTGTTTTCTTTCCTAATAGACTGGATAAGGGTCTAGGGGGTAGAGTGTTTGCCTGTGGACACTTCATAGCTGGAGAATATCCAGACAAAAGAGGAGCCTCCCCATCTTCCTGCCAGTAGCTGCAGAGATACTGTCTTTATCCCAAGCTGATAGAGAAGCTACAGGTCAAATATGAGCTTGGCTGGTACCTCAGCCAAAGCCCCCCGCAGCAGACAGGGCTCCCCTCAAAGGAAGTAGGCTGAGCTGTTCTTGTGTGCAATGCAGTTCTGACTCTCAGCATTTTCTGGTGCCTGTCTTACAAAAAGCACTGGAAAATAAGAAACCAGGTCAGTGTCAGGGCAGAAGGGAAGATGACTCTTACTAACACCGACCAGCAGCTTTCTAAGCAGGATAGTTCCACACAATAGATACTGTCAATGCTGTAAATAGAAATGAGCACCCCTTGGCTTGTTCTTCCTAAAACATGATCCTAACTAGAAGTTAGGGCCCAGAGAAGTCTATTAATTTACCCAAAATTTCAGTGGATTAAGTTAAGTCTCCCAAAACAGCCCACAATAACTTGTAACTGCAGGTCAAGTCTCCATGAGACCAACAGCTTGGGGCTCAGGTTCTACTGCTCTTTGCTAACCATATCCCCTCCCAAGTTAGGGCAGGTGGTGGTGGGGTAAGTAGGGCTGGTGTCAGCAATGTCAAGGGTGTGGGTCTCTTCCTCAGAGCTAGCAGAGGACATCTGCTGCCTCCTCAAGGAGCCCTGTGCACTACAGAGGCCTGGCCCAATTCCTGGCAAGGATATCCCCCTACCAGTGACTGTGCAGAGGACATCAATCAATTGGAAAGAGCTGGAGAGGTGAGGAGACCACTGGAAACATGAAAGCAGAAGAGAGAAGCATTAGAAGGACTCACTCTTAGGAACCCATAACCCAGAATGGGTCTGTCATGCTCAGGGACACCTGGGAGTCAGAGAGCTCTACCTCCAGGCTTGGCAGGTGTGTTGGGGTGAAGATTGTTAGGAAGGAGAAAGCCAGCATGGACCTCAAGGCATTTAGGGTGGAAGGAAAGTAGGAGGGGGTGCGGGAGCAGAGTTCTGACTACAGAGGTTCAAATGGGGTTTGATAGGGAGCACCTGCTTGAGTTTGTCAGTAAAAGAGTGACATGGAGCTATTCTGAGAGCAGTGGACCATGTGGTGAGTGCAGGGAGGAGGCAGCTCCCTCACCTGGCTTTCCCCATCCACAGCTCCCTCTTGTTTTCGGAAGCACCTGCCACAGGGGAAGCATCTCTTCTTAGCGAAGGGCTCCGGGAATCCCTCAGCTCCTACATCAGCCTGACTGAGGACACCTCTTTGGACAACGGCAAGATTAAAAGCAAAGGTCGAAAAGGAAACCAAGTCTGTGGCACTTAGAACCCCAACTCAGCTCATCATGGGCACCCCGGGGGGGGGGGGCAAAGAATCCAGCTCCACCTTGAGCCTTTGCTCCTCCCTCACTTGGCTCCAAGAAGTCATTTACTTCCTCTCAGGCAATGACTCTATCTATGACCTCTAGTTCAAGTGGAGGGCAGTTGAGAACAGAGCCAGAGCTCCAAAGAAAGTAAACTTAGCCAGGTGCAGTGGCACATGCCTGTAATCCCAGCTACTTGGGGCCCTGAAGCAGGAGGATCTAGAGCTCAAGGCCAGCCTGAGCAACTGAGACACTGTCCCAAAATAAAACATTTCAAAAAGGGCCATGGATGTAGCTCAGCAGCAGAGCACAYGTGGTGCTTAACCATATGCAAGGTCCTGGGTTCAGTCCCCAGTACTGCACAYACACAAAGCAAACACCCAGTCAGTTCCCAAATTTAGGATTTCCTGTACCACCCAATCTATTGCTTACCAAGTCAATCTACCTCCCTGATAACCAGTCTCACCTACAAGGTAGAAACCACTACTAGCACCAAGGAGAAACAAATCATTTAAAGAAACTGTACAAGAACAAATAAAAGGTCTGGGGTTGTGGCTCAGCGGTAAGGCGCTCAAGGTTGTGTTCGATYCTCAACATCATATAAAAACAAATAAATAAATCAAGCAAAGGTAGTGTGTCCAACTGCCAAATAAATAAATAAATAAAAATAAAGAACCATACAAGTCTTGATCATAATACTGCCACACCTTGGGGAGGGACTTTGGCTCCTGAGGGAAAGGAGAGCAGAGGGGCTGACGGCTTACCACAGCAGCAGATCCTGGGTCGTCCAGCCTCCATTTGACTCCCAGAGCAAAGAGAAGGACTGCTGATAAYCCAGGTCATGAAGCACCCCCTCGCCCCCCCACCCTTGCCAGCGCTTCTTTGCATAGCCTCAGCTCTCTTTAGTTTTGTAGCTTATCATTCAAACCTAGCCAAGCTCTCCCAACCACCCGGATTTTGCCATCTTGTAATCAAATACAAAATGACATTTTGGGGCATAACACACTGTGGGCCAGGCCCTTTCTCAGTGCTGGGCAGGGGCATCAGAAATGGTAATCACTCTTTCCACAACCCCAAGACCAAGGCCATGCCTGTTCCCTAAAGAGAAAGACACTTGGCTGAAGTTGCTGAGGGAGCAGACCAGGGAAGGGGGGACAGGCGGAGGCGGCACCTCTGGTACTTCTACTTGGTTCCGAGGCTACAGGTGGGTAGGAAAGGCTTTACCAGGTATCATCGACAGGTTCTTGGTTAAAGATTTATTTATTCAAGTATCTGAAAACATTCTACAATGCAAACTGTTATCAGATGCTGCTTGTACTGTGCTAACGACCGCATACATACTGCCATACTGTTTTCAGAAGACTTGAAATGCCACTGATAGTTAAAAACTGTACACCTGATGGAGAACCGAGGAAGACAATTTAATGTTTCATCCCGATCCAGAGGTGCATCAAATTAAATGACAGCTCCACTCWGCAAACAGCTGTTACATGATGGTATCCAAGAAGAAAGTTGGTGATGGACAAATTCAGAAATGCTTCCCCCAAAGGCAGATGATTCTTTAAAAAGTTTCAGGTCATGACCCTTGCAGAAAACACTGACGCCCAACACACTGATTCTCGGTCCAGGAAACACGGGTCTTCCAGGTTCCATGTGGCTGGGGTGTCCCAATGATGATGTTTCTGCTGTAATTAAGAGGGTCCTTTGGACTGGACAGGGAGCAGGTGGGAACTGTACACCTTCAGTCATAGTGAATGGCAGTGTAAAAGATGATCCAAATGACCTACAGGGAAGACAAACAATGTTGATGTGGCACCTGGATCTACAGAGGCCTATAAATCCACAAAATAACAATGTCAGATAAGAATGTGCACAGGGCACTCCCCAGGAGCTACCCAATGCATAACCTGCAGGAGACCTAAGTTATTTCATCAAAATCGGCTGTCTCAGATCACAGGACCGCTCCCTTATGCTCCGAAAGGGACCCTCTGAATACCCCCCTCCCCTCACCAAACAGCGCCCTAAGCCCCAGAGAGTACTGTGGGGTATACAGGTGGAATTGATACAAGTAGAGCTGGACTGTTAGCAGGTGCTCAATTTACTAACAAGTGTAAAAATAGCCTTCATTCTTTTAGCTTTCCATCAAAACAGAGATTATTATATTTTATTTTACTTTTTGTAGATGGACATGATACCTTTATTTATTTTTATGTGGTGCTGAGGATCGAACCCAGTGCCACATGCCAGGCAAGTGCTCTGCCACTGAGCCCCCACCACAGCCCAAAGCAGAGGTTCTTAAACCTTAGCTACCCTTTCAATCTCTCGGAACCTTTAAGAAAAACAGGATTTCCTGATGCCACCTCCCAAGAGATTTTTTTTTTTTAATGTTTATTTTTTAGTTCCAGGTGAACACAATATCTTTATTTTGTTTTTAAATGGTACTGAGAATCGAATCCAGTGCCTCACACATGCTAGGYGAGCGCGCTACCACTTGAGCCACATCCCCAGCCCTCAAGAGATTTTATTGGTTTGGACCAGGGTCTGGACACAAGGGTAGGTGTATTAAAAAAACAAACAAAAAACCTTTGAATATATAATTCACATTCCAGGAAGTTTACTCTTTTTTTTTTTTTTTTTAAAGCATACAGTTCAGAGGTTTTTAGTATATTCATGAAGTTGTGCAGACATCCTTACCAACTGATCCCAAAATAACTCTCCAAAAAAGAGCCTGTTCCCCTGATTAGTTATTACTTCCTATTTCTCGCTCACCTCAGCCTCTGGCAGAATATATTTTCTGTCTCTATGGACTTGCCTATTTTGGACAAGTACATAAATGGTATCATACAATAAATATRGTCTTCTGTCCGGATTCTTCCACTTAGCTTTGTTTTTAAGACTCATCCATGATGTGTAGTACACATCAGGACTTATTTCCGTTTCATGGTCGAATTAATATTCTGCATGTTTTAGCTGTTATGAATGTTTTAAATAATAATGTCATATATATTTTTAAATGTTTCCCAGTTTCTCATATGTAGCCAAGGTTGAGAATCAGATGCAGAAGCAGACAATGGGGCTTARATTTACACTTTCCAGGAGACTGTACAACATCCACATCACATCACAGGGACAGCCTGGCTCAAACATGTCCTCCAACTTCAGGAATCTTGAAAAATGGCACCTCAGTTGCGCACAGTGGCTTAGACCTATAATGCCTGTTCTTGGGAGGCTGAGACAGGATTATAAGTTCAAGGCTAATTTTGGCAATATAGTGATGTCCTGTCTCAAAAGAAAAATAAAAAAGGCTGGGGGGGCTGGGGATGTGGCTCAAGCGGTAACGTGCTTGCCTGGCATGCGCAGGGTGCTGGGTTCAATCCTCAGCACCACATAAAATAAAAAAATAAAGATGTTATGTCCAAGGAAAACTGAAAAATAAATATTAAAAAAGTTCTCTCCCTCTCTCTTTAAAAAAAAAAAAAAAGGCTGGGGAACTGGGGATGTAGCCAGTGGTAGAGTGCCCTAGTACTTCAGGGAAAAAAAAAAGATGGCCCCCAACCGTAGTACAACTTAACTGGTTGGCTCTATAAGAATGGTATCTCAGGAAATGAATAGAACCTGCTCTAAAACTTCCAGCTACATACCATGAACAAGGCAAAAGATGTCATAAATCCTTCTTTTGTTAGCTCCCAGGTGCCACCATATTCTTCTTCATCAATCTGTAGATAGTTGCTGAAGTAGAGGTACAGGACTCCTGCATTGATCAGGCAGAATCTGGAATGAGGGAAGACAGGCACCAAACACAAGCTTAAGCTTAGAAGACTCAAAGCTCCCACCAGCAATGTTCAGCTGCTAGAGCACTCACTGTGTTCCACAGCTCGTGTTTGTCTCTCTTACCACCAGGCAGGGATGACCTGGAGAGAAACAAGTTTTGGGCTCAGGAAAACCAGTTCAACACGTTTTCCTTCATTGTTATGAGAGCTGTGTAAGGCTCTTAATATCTGTAAAATGGGGATGCTGAAAAGTATGTGGCAGTGACAAGCAAAATACTACTTTAAAATGCCTAGACCCTCAGTGGAGCTGCCCATCTGACTGGGCTAGAGATGTAAAAAAAGACTATTTTTAGTTGCCCAGAAAACATAAAAATTAAAAAAATTTAAAGTAGGGGTTGGGAATGTAGCTAAGTGGTACAGTGCTTATCTAGTAGGCATGAAGCCCTGCGTTTGATCCCCAACACTGCAAAACAAGGAAAATTCAAAGTATACAGAAGTTTTCCAAGCCTCCTCCTCCTCCCAAAGCAAAACATAATGACTTATACCAGATGTGGGACTTCACATGACTCTAGATGAGGGGTGGCTATGGGATAAATGGTAAGCTGCTGCTTCATGTCCTCACTGCACAAGGAGCAGCACATGTCCCCTGCACTGTTCCCTAGGGCAGATATTTGGGATGTCTACCATCTGCTGCTGGTTTTGATGCACAGGTGATTACAGCAGCTCTTGTTCTATTAGGGGCCTAAGAACAGCAACTAGAGTGGAGCTGAAACCAGTGGTTTGTTAACAACCCCAAGAAAGTTTCTGACCCCCAAAACATATTTCACCAATACAGGAATTAGAATGAAGTGAGCAGAAAAAATATGACCGTTCTTATCTCTTGTTTTCTTCCCCCAACCCAGTACCGGGGATTGAACCCAGCAGTACTCTACCACTGAGCTGCATTCTCAACCCTTTTTATCTTTTATATGAGACAGAGTCTAAGATGCCCAGGCTGGCCTGGGATGGTAGGCGGTTCCATCGTGCCTGGCTTCATCTCTTGTTTTCACAAAGTTTTTCTACCTTTCTTGTGATCTTTAAGTTATTTAATCGAATTYAATGGGGGATCATGTGCCTCAAGTCACATCCCTTCTGAAGACAGAGATAAAAAATGCAATGGTTGGGGTGTAGCTCAGTGGTAAAACAAGTATTTAGCATGTGCAAGGCCCCAGGTTCCAGCCCCAGAGCCAAAAGAAAAAAGCAGAAGCCAGGTTCTGTGGTGCACATATGCCTGTAATCCCAACAGCTCAAGAGGCTGAGAAAGAACTGCAAGTTCAAAGCCAGCCTCAGCAGCTCAGTGAAGCCCTGTCTCTAAGTAAAATACAAAATAGGGCTGGGGATGTGGCCCAGTGGTCAAGAGGCCCTGAGTTCAATCCCGGGTACAA